TGAAGTGAAACTAGGAATACTCCATTCCAAACCTTCTCCTTAATGGACAAAGAAGGACCTTGATGAATCAAGTTGAATAAGGGGTCAGTAGCAGAGGGTGGATGGGTTCTGAGACTGCAGAGACATTATTCATCAGAATGTAATGGCAGTGGTCAATGCCCAGTCCTGTACATGGTGAAGTTTAGAAAAAATTATTGGCCCAGAAATCAGATCTCTCCATGTGGTCTAACATTTCTTGTTCAAATGCTTGCCATTTTCCGAAAGCTACCTCCAGTGGCTAGTAAAATTGGAAGCCAACAGTAAGATCTAGGGGCACACAACATAAGAGCAAGATGTCGGTGGTGTTGCAGATGGTCCCTGACAATTTGAAGTTGGAGAAATAGCTGCCAAATACAGTAAATGCAGAAAGTTGGAATAAGAAGGTGAGCATATTTCAGATTTCATTTGATTTTCTCTGAATGCTACCTATACATTTTCCCTCTTTCTTGTTTCTTCATTTACATGTATTTCCACATTTGAGTAAAATGTGTATTTTTCTCAATTACATACATTTTAGATTTCCACATTTTAAAGTGTGTACATAATTTTGTGCACTCTTTAATTCTTCAGAACACCTTGTAAGCTTTGCAAATGTGGAGAATCTTGGCATCAGTTAAGTTTTGGCTTGCAAGAACTCTCGTGAGGTGCAAAAATACTACTTTCATTTGGATTGTTAAGAATCCAATATAATTCTATTCCATCCCTAGCTGGGAATGATTAGAAAAGAAATAAAGGAGACTGATGTGGCTTTCAACATTCCATTGATATACACTTCAATCTTCTATTCAGTAGTACCATGGTCTCTACTTTAACGATAATATTGTAGATATCACATGAGCATCTATAATGTAGACATATATACTGTTTATTGAGCCACAGTGACTGAGTTGCTAGCTGAAGAACGTTTACAGACTTCATAAATACCCTTGCTGTTCTGTAGGATTTCAGTTCTGCTGCAAAAGGATGATCTTCCTCAGACAAAGGCTGTTTTATATGTGCCTCTTTAGCAACCTAATCCCTGCAGCATTTACTGCCTGCAGCATATAAGTGTAAAAGAAAAGTTCAGACAAGGAGGAATTTAATAATTTAATAACACAGCAGTCTTTTTCTTGTTCCCTCCTTGTCCTGTTTCTTTACTTCCCTGAGGGCAGTTGCAGAAGGAAAGAGAAAGAATTGGGCTTTTCCTTGTCCTCAACTTGCATCCTATTTTCCACATCTATTCTAGGTGAAGTGAAACTAGGAATACTCCATTCTGAACCTTCTCCTTAATGGACAAAGAAGGACCTTGATGAATCAAGTTGAATAAGGGGTCAGTAGCAGAGGGTGGATGGGTTCTGAGACTGCAGAGACATTATTCATCAGAATGTAATGGCAGTGGTCAATGCCCAGTCCTGTACATGGTGAAGTTTAGAAAAAATTATTGGCCCAGAAATCAGATCTCTCCATGTGGTCTAACATTTCTTGTTCAAATGCTTGCCATTTTCAAAAAGCTGTCTCCAGTGGCTAGTAAAATTGGAAGCCAACAGTAAGATCTAGGGGCACACAACATAAGAGCAAGATGTCGGTGGTGTTGCAGATGGTCCCTGACAATTTGAAGTTGGAGAAATAGCTGCCAAATACAGTAAATGCAGAAAGTTGGAATAAGAAGGAGAGCATATTTCAGATTTCATTTGATTTTCTCTGAATGCTACCTATACATTTTCGCTCTTTCTTGTTTCTTCATTTACATGTATTTCCACATTTGAGTAAAATGTGTATTTTTCTCAATTACATACATTTTAGATTTCCACATTTTAAAGTGTGTACATAATTTTGTGCACTCTTTAATTCTTCAGAACACCTTGTAAGCTTTGCAAATGTGGAGAATCTTGGCATCAGTTAAGTTTTGGCTTGCAACAACTCTCATGAGGTGCAAAAATACTACTTTCATTTGGATTGTTAAGAATCCAATATAATTCTATTCCATCCCTAGCTGGGAATGATTAGAAAAGAAATAAAGGAGACTGATGTGGCTTTCAACATTCCATTGATATACACTTCAGTCTTCTATTCAGTAGTACCATGGTCTCTACTTTAACGATAATATTGTACGTAGATATCACATGAGCAGATGTGATATTTTTCCAGGTTTCCTGTTAACAGGGCTATCAGTATGGTTTGCTCTGAGATAATACTTGACAAAAAGAATGTTGATAGTTCCTGATATTGTGTCTCCATGGGAGCTAAGAAACCTACCAACAGTCAAATAGTAATTCCTCATTCTTGCTTCTCCCCACCACACCCATACAAAAACACACACCACACATGCCTGGCTGCACACAAATCAGCTAGGGAGATAGAACTAGGTGTCTGTATATCACAGAGAAAGATAAAGAGAGAGCTGAGATTGACTGTGTCAAAAATATCTTTGTCCTGGAAATCCAACATGGAAGCAGTGATTTCTTTACAAATATATAGACTAAGTCTGTGTGCAGCAGAGATGGCAGATAGAAGAGAAAGGTGTGGTGGGGGAAAACTTCCACAGTTTCCCTAGTGATGCTGGTGAGGGATACTAGGAATAATTATCCAAAAAAGTAGGTCTTCCATATTCTGAGGTGGAGGCACATCTTAAACACTCTGCTTGGTATTTTTAATCCACTGCTTCCATGTTGGATTTCCAGGACAAAGATATTTTTGACACAGTCAATCTCAGCTCTCTCTTTATCTTTCTCTGTGATATACATATAATAAAAGGCTACTAAGCCTCCAGTAGCCTCCTTCCGAATAGAATCAAACATGGGTAAGCCCTGTAGCCCAGAATGTGCCACTGCTCTGGGAAGGGGGTGCAAGCATAATAATGCAAATTAGTAATATTTTTTAGAGTAATGCCCACATATTTTTGTGCAAAGTGCAAGGGCCTTCCTTCTGTAAAATCAAGAAAAGTACTGTCATTGTCTAGACATGAATAGCCATGTGTGACTACTGCCACCCTGCCCTTGTTGGAGATGGTTGGGAGGAGCTCTTTGACCATAGGCTCTATGAATCCCAGACTCTTGTTGCTGGTGGTGGTCTTATTTGAGTGGGATAAAAAGGCTGGTTAGGTGCCTGAGTCCTCCCATCCTGATCACTTGCACAGGGGCTTAGTTAACCTGTGGCCTTCTGTCTCCAGCTGGGTTCAAGTTCCAAACACTGGGCTGGCACGGTCTCCAGTCTGGGGCTGAAGTCTAGTTCTCCACACTGACCCCAGTCAGCTGACACCTTTTCAGGAGGGGTGGTAGTTCCAGGCTGATGCAGGTCCCTGTTTCCCAAAGGTTTGTTCTGCCTCTGGAGGATCTCCTGCAGGTGCATGTTGTGTCATTTCCTCCATGGGGACCTCTTTTGGGTTGAGATGGGGTAGCAGCCTGGAGCAGGACAGGGCATCTCTGTCTTCATGGAGCGGATCTCAGAGTGATGAGCACTGGCACACTTCTCCCACATCATCTAGGTGTATGATGGAGGTCCTCCACCCATTCCTCCTTCTCTGAATCCATTGAGGGTGATTAGGCAGGGGGAGGGATTTCTATGGCATGTCATTTTCCCCCAGAAACCTATGTCTGAGCTTATGGGTGGGTCTGAACATCCTCTGTAAGTCCGAGTCAAGTCACCAGTGCAACTTAAGTGCAACTTGCGTTCCCATCCCTACCTGATTCAGTATTAAGATTCAGAGAGCCAGCATGTTGTAGTGGGTAAAGTGACAAGACTAGCTCCAGATAAACAAAGGTTTAAGTGCCCACCCAGCTGTGAGGCTTACTGGCTGTTCTGGGCTCATTTCCTGTCAACCTAGCATACTTCACAGGTTTATTGCAGAAGTGCAATGGTTGAGGAAGAAATCCTCATAGAGAAAGGGTGTGATAAAAATGAACCCAATAGATTTAGGCTATAATATTCTTAACAGGAAATGAGGCCTTTTCATTGCTCAAGAAGAAGAAAGATTTAGCCTGAAATCCAATAGTAAGTCACAATTAGAGTAGGCCTATTGAATCAATGGAACTTGCAGAAGAGGTCACTCACCAAATGCCTACTGATTCAAGGTGCCTACTCTACTACTTAAATTTCTTCTTCCCATCTTGAACTATTGTTTTCCTTGTATAATGCTGTAAAACTGTTATTATATATAAACTGTTTTTATCTTGGCTATTGTGAGCCGCCCAGAGTAGACTATGTCTAGATAGGTGGCATATAAGTGCAATAAATAAATAAATAAATAAATAAATAAATAAATAAATAAATTTCCAGCATAAATTACAAATATTATTGTCAACTTGAATTACTGGCGGAGAGCAGTGGGTCAAACTATATTACCAGACTAGCAATGTCTGAAAACCACCCCTGCAAGTGCATGCCACAGACCGTTTTTAACTGGAAAATTTGTCAAAGAGAACTATAGGTTATAAAGTGGCAGAGAAGAAATAAAGGTCCAAAGATGTGTCATGGCCCCAAGAGGAAATACAGCTATACTGTATAGCGTAAAAGCGAGATTGGCTCTTTGCCTTCCACCCGGGATATTGCGAGAACAGATCAGTCTCTCGAGTTTTGCAAGTAGGGGGTGGAAAACCAGGTCATTTAAGGGGCTTTCCACCCTAAGACCATCAGTTTTGGAAATTGACAGACTTAGCCCTACGCAATGTAGGTGTTGCAGGCATGAAGTTTGACACCCATCTGTTTAGGATTGGAGTGGCTTCCTCTGCAGCAGCCCTGGGTTACAACCTGGAGGAGATTAAACAATTAGACTGGTGGTCTTTGCCAAGTTATAAAAGATACATTAGGACCTTACCTTATGTGTAGGCAGGGGGCCTGACTTTTGTCTTTACATGTCCTTCAGGGTCCGGAAGATGAAAGCAAATAGCGATCATCGGCCGTAGTTACATTCACTGGGCAGAACGCTATGCTGCCACTTCCCCATGGGGGAGCAATCTAGGGCTCTGTGCCCGGGTGCATATTACATGGAAAAGGCTGCTTGGCATGCAGTGGATCCAGCTGTGCAGGATGACGATATTCAGTCAGTTCCTGCAATGTGGCCAGATGTGCTGGTAATTCACCTCAGAGGCAATGACTTGCCTAGATTTGCTGGTAAGGCGTTGGTCCTGGACATTTTACTCAACCTTAAATGGCTGAATGCCAGGTATCCTGCAATGTGGATCATATGGTGAGTATGCAGAGGCATCTGCAGCGGCCTTGAATCGGTGATAGGTCACCACAGGAACCAAATGGATAAGCCTGAATTGTTCAGGAGTGACAGGGTCCACTTTTCGGATTCAGGTTTGGATGTCTTTTTAGAAAACATAAAAGGGGGCCTGCTTGTCAAGCTCGAAAGGCTCTGTGGCGCATATGGGACATAGCTAGGCTAGTCCCTATGCTGTGGCGGGTAGTGCGGAAAAAACAGGCATTTCCGGTGTGTCCCACGGTAATTTCAGGTTAACCCACAGCATATCCAATCTCCTGGCACTGCAGATCATGCAATTACAGTGCTTGTAGCAGGAAGATGCACTGGGCCACTTCCGGACCAACAGTCATCAACTAAAGATGGCTTGAGGTCTGCGGGTGTTTATTAGTGGCTGG